GTAAAAGAGCACGCAAATATCAACAAAATCTAGCACAATGAGTTATCGGACCACATGAAACAAATTCATAGCACACATCAGAGTACCTGAATAGTTATGATTAGTAGTACAAACTGAACAAATTAATTGGCCTAATAAACAGCAATATGAAATATGACATGACTTACTTTCGGCTGTTCCAAAAGGCATCGACAAAGATCTTGTTATACTTGATTGCAATTGGACAGACTGTGCAGCCAAGTTCAAATGCACCCTAAGAGAACATAAGAAAATAGAAATATAAGAAAATTAGGTGCTCGGTACCACAGAAATTACAAAATTTGGGGCACAACAGTACGGAAACAAAAAAAGAACAATATCAACTTTTTACTAGCTAATATCCATAAACATTATCGGATAATTAGGAAATTCACGGTCCTATCTATAATACACTGCACAATTTCAAGTGAATGAGGAGGCACCTTCTTAAACATCACTGTGTAGTGGTTATTCACACAAGTTCCTTCAGGAAATATAAGGAGAGGATTATTATCAGCCCCATGGACATGTTCCCTTAGCCTGCAAACAACCAAATAAAGATACCAAAATACCAATGTATAAAAAAAATATATATATATATATATATATATATATATATATAATAATAATAATAATAATAATAATAATAATAATAATAATAATAATAATAATAATAATAATAATGATGCCGAAATAAAGAAAATGGTTCAATCTGAAATAACTTATTGAGCTTTGGACTCTGATCCTAAAGTAAATCATACTTTCGGGCAACAATTTCACGATCCTTGGCCTCTGATCGATTGAACCAGATACATCCTAGACTTTCCAAAATAGTGCTCTGCAATAGACCTGAGCAGATATATATAGCATGATAACATCAGCAAAATCAAGTGCAAGAGAAAAAAATTCATCTAATACCATCCCAACTCAAACAACTGAACAAGACTTTAGCAATCATACTAAAGGTAAAATGCTAAAGTTGCCATAAGACCATTAAAACATCTCCTATCTTAATAATGTACCAAGCATAATGTGAAAAGCAAACATAATTCATTAGATTATCAACTCAAATCGATCATTCCATTGCTTCAGTTCAAACACATAATCCAACTCAACAGATAAACATGCCTAGAATACTTTAATAACCAACAGAATAAGTCCACAGAGAAACATAACCCAACACTTCTTGTGCTTAAAAACTAACAAACAATATACTGAAAAAATAGTATACTTTAACAGGCCCTCTCTACGTAAAAAAACTTACCAACCCACCCAGGATGCTTCTGCATTATCACTGCAAATGCCGTCATTTGTTCTAAAACAATAAAATCAATCATGGAAGTGTGATTAGCCACAAAAACCTGCAGAGGGCATTATGATTTAAAAGAAAAAATATATGATTCCACCAAAATATTGAAAATTAAAATGATGTCATGCATTACACAGTCTCACCTGCTTCGGTCGAATGCTTGGATGTGGACCGTGGTATTTGACAACCCCAGTCCACGATGCAACAAAAAAGCTGCAAATCAACTCCACTAGACCTCTCTGAAAAGGAAAATGGTAAAAGATGGTTCCAGATGATCAACCGTTGGTTTAAAAGGTGTGACAATTAGAAAAAGAACTTACTAGTAACTGTACCTACAATTAATAAAATGATGTCTCTCACTAAGTCACTAATGTATTCACAACATTTCACATCCTTTCATGCCGTTTTCTTCAATCTCCCACCCCCAAAAGTTCTATTAATATATTGCTTCCGTTCCTATTGGAATATGTAGCTGATCTGTCCCGAGTCATATATCACAAAGACAACTAACGCGAAAAAACAGCAAAACAACAGTCGGCATACAAATGAGAAGCATGCAAAGACTTTACATGAAGGATATGCATAACAAAGTTTTACCAAATCAAACAATCAACAAGCCGTTAAAATCCCACTAAGTGGGGCCGGCTCTATGGATCACATGTCGTCATTGTGCTCAATCAAAACACATATCCTCATTCAAATTTAAATATTATAAATCATTTGTCTCCTTCCAAGTTTTCTTAGGTCTGTTCCTCCCCCCTTTAATTTGCATTCTTAATTCTAATGTTTCTAGCCA